CGCATCAAACACATGTCCCCAGGGAAACCTGATATATAAGCTGGTCAGTTGAGCATTATATACATGTGGTCAATCGTACAAATCACACAAAAAATATCACACGTCACTCTCCTCCTATATGGTAGTGAAAATGGATGTATGTCTCAGATACAGCCTGCAGTCTGTCACACAGACTTAAGATATAACTAATCCAACCTTACAAGAATGGAGTGTTGACAACACATTGAACATTAACTTCACATCAAAAACAGCTATAAAACACCAACACTATAATACAGAACAGCTATAACACACCATCACTATAACCCCGGGACAGCTATAACACATCATCACTATAACACATCATCACTATAACCCCGGGACAGCTATAACACATCATCACTATAACCCAGGGACAGCTATAACACTCCATCACTATAACCACGGGACAGCTATAACACACCATCACTATAACCCAGGGACAGCTATAACACACAATCACTATAACCTCGGGACAGCTATAACCCACCAACAGTATAACCCAGGGACAGCTATAACACACCATCACTATAACCCAAGGACAGCTATAACACACCATCACTATAACACATCATCACTATAACCCCGGGACAGCTATAACACATCATCACTATAACCAAGGAACAGCTATAACACACCATCACTATAACCCAGGGACAGCTATAACACACCATCACTATAACCCAGGGACAGCTATAACACACCATCACTATAACCCCGAGACAGCTATAACACACAATCACTATAACCCTGGGACAGCTATAACACAATCACTATAACCCAGGGACAGCTATAACACACCATCACTATAACCCAGGGACAGCTATAACACACATCACTATAACCCAAGGAACAGCTATAACACACACCATCAGGGACAGCTATAACACATCATCACTATAACCCAGGGACAGCCATAACACACCATCACTATAACCCAGGGACAGCTATAACACTCCATCACTATAACCACGGGACAGCTATAACACACCATCACTATAACCCAGGGACAGCTATAACACACAATCACTATAACCCCGGGACAGCTATAACACACCATCAATATAACACACCATCACTATAACACAGGGACAGCTATAACACACCATCACTATAACCCAGGGACAGCTATAACACACCATCACTATAACACACCATCACTATAACCCAGGGACAGCTATAACACACCATCACTATAACACACCATCACTATAACCCCGGGACAGCCATAACACATCATCACTATAACCCAGGGACAGCTATAACACACCATCACTTTAACCTAGGGACAGCTATAACACACCATCACTATAACTCAGGGACAGCTATAACACACCATCACTATAACCCAGGGACAGCTATAACACTCCATCACTATAACCCCGGGACAGCTATAACACACCATCACTATAACCCAGGGACAGCTATAACATACCATCACTATAACCAAGGGACAGCTATAACACACCATCACTATAACCCAGGGACAGCTATAACACACCATCACTTTAACACACCATCACTATAACCCAGGGATAGCTATAACACACCATCACTTTAACACACCATCACTATAACACACCATCACTATAACCCAGGGACAGCTATAACACACCAACAGTATAACCCAGGGACAGCTATAACACACCATCACTATAACCCAGGGACAGCTATAACACACCATCACTTTAACACACCATCACTATAACCCAGGGATAGCTATAACACACCATCACTTTAACACACCATCACTATAACACACCATCACTATAACCCAGGGACAGCTATAACACACCAACAGTATAACCCAGGGACAGCTATAACACACCATCACTATAACCCAGGGACAGCTATAACACACCATCACTATAACCCAGGGACAGCTATAACACACCATCACTATAACCCAGGGACAGCTATAACACACCATCACTATAACCCAGGGACAGCTATAACACCATCACTATAACACACCATAACACACCATAACCCAGGGACAGCTATAACACACCATCACTATAACCCAGGGACAGCTATAACAACACCATCACTATAACCCAGGGACAGATATAACACACCATCACTATAACCCAGCGACAGCTATAACACACCATCACTATAACACAGCATCACTATAACCCCGGGACAGCTATAACACACCATCACTATAACCCAGGGACAGCTATAACACACCATCTCTATAACCAAGGGACAGCTATAACACACCATCTCTATAACCTAGGGACAGCTATAACACACCATTACTATAACCCAGGGACAGCTATAACACACCATCACTATAACCCAGGGACAGCTATAACACACCATCACTATAACCCAGGGCTATAACACAGCATCACTTTAACACACCATCACTATAACCCAGGGACAGCTATAACACACACACATCAGGGATTATAACACACCATCACTATAACACACCATCACTATAACCCAGGGACAGCTATAACACACCATCACTATAACCCAGGGACAGCTATAACACACCATCACTATAACCCAGGGATAGCTATAACACACCATCACTTTAACACACCATCACTATAACCCAGGGAGAGCTATAACACACCATCACTTTAACACACCATCACTATAACCCAGGGACAGCTATAACACACCATCACTTTAACACACCATCACTATAACCCAGGGATAGCTATAACACACCATCACTTTAACACACCATCACTATAACCCAGGGACAGCTATAACACATCATCACTATAACCAAGGGATAGCTATAACACACCATCACTATAACCCAGGGACAGCTATAACACACCATCACTTTAACACACCATCACTATAACCCAGGGATAGCTATAACACACCATCACTTTAACACACCATCACTATAACCCAGGGACAGCTATAACACACCATCACTATAACCAAGGGACAGCTATAACATACCATCACTATAACCAAGGGACAGCTATAACACACCATCACTATAACCCAGGGACAGCTATAACACACCATCATAACACACCATCACTATAACACACCATCACTATAACCCAGGGACAGCTATAACACACCAACAGTATAACCCAGGGACAGCTATAACACACCATCAATATAACCCAGGGATAGCTATAACACACCATCACTTTAACACACCATCACTATAACCCAGGGATAGCTATAACACACCATCACTTTAACACACTATCACTATAACCCAGGGAGAGCTATAACACACCATCACTTTAACACACCATCACTATAACCCAGGGAGAGCTATAACACACCATCACTTTAACACACCATCACTATAACCCAGGGAGAGCTATAACACACCATCACTTTAACACACCATCACTATAACCCAGGGATAGCTATAACACACCATCACTTTAACACACCATCACTATAACCCAGGGATAGCTATAACACACCATCACTTTAACACACCATCACTATAACCCAGGGACAGCTATAACACACCATCACTATAACCCAGGGAGAGCTATAACACACCATCACTTTAACACACCTTTGTGATCAACAACATATTCAGGAAAATAAATCAGTGAAATCCAATCACTTTACAGACAGGAGCTGACAAGTAAAGAAACATTTTAAAGCTAAAACTTGACATACCTTTTCTTTATGTTCACAAGGTTTTCTTGAAAATAATCTCATTTTTTCTTACAAAATACTTTTCTAGTATTCTCTCCAAAAGGTAACACCTGTTGTGTGATACAGATGGTTTAGTGTGTAGTTTTGTGTGAGGTTTGGTATAATGGTGACTGGTCTTTCACCTGCTGCTAATTAATAACTTGCAATAGTCTGGTGATGTCACAACAACCTTTATTTGTACAAGCCTAACTTTGACCTGGACGACCAGTACAAGTCCATCAAAAATACTTATCACTGTCATTCATTGACAAACATTCTACCATACTGTTTGTTTATATTTTTGCACTGGAACACATCTTACATGAAATATTGAACAGTCACATAGTTGTAAACAACAAGATAAATAAGCCACATCCATTGTAACATCAGACTCTGGAACGATAATCCACATGTTATAATCCAAGAAATTTATTAGCGTTTTTTTTACTACATCCACAAAAGCAACATATATTGTCTATAAATAAAATGTAAGAATGTGTATCTAGGTCTACATCTGCCAGGAGAGTTTAGCAGACTTAACAAGTCCTTACTTAAGGAGTGGTACCTATATAATATGTAGTTAATGGGCCTTAAATGTGCTCTCAGTATCACTGCATCATGTATATAGAAACAATAACCAGACTGACCTACTACTTAACCCCTAATATGACCTCGAGGTCAATGGTTGAGAACCAAACACTAAACAAAGAGAAATGGTTACCATGGAGTGGTTTTATATTGGCAGTAATTTGATTTAATGAAACATTAAACTTGTAGTCAATTAACTATCAATCAATCATCACCAAGTCATTTCTGGTTAAACTCAACAAAGTGAAGGTCATTAATCAAGATCATTGGTGTTCAAAAAGGTAAAACCCTATCAATTATATCTGAAACTGTCGATTTTTCCTGATTCAAATTATCAATGATGTCAAACTATTTAGCTAAGCTGTATAAATACTCCACTAGCCATGTACTTGCTTTACCCTGCCACTTGGGCAAATGAAGGAGACCAGACAGAAAGCCCACAGTGTATAGTAAAACTTGAAGTATAATTACCCTTACAAAACTTGAGAAATATCAATTTCAAACACGGAAAATAAAACTCCGCCCTAGTCCAAGTATGCCAATAAATTAAATATAGCTCCAAAGGATCACTTTTATGCACTTTGCAATTCAATTTATAGAAACATTATTTAGAACTAAAGAGTCAAATTTATGATCTGTATCCAAGGGAACAGCAGTGTATAAGTGATGTATTGATCTTTGATATTACAGCTCCACATGGTTATACAAATCAACAGAAAACAGGTGGTGATACCAGCTATCAGTCTTACCTTTGGAATTCGGCCCTTATCACATGGAGTTATCTGCTCCTTGCAGGAGTTCTCATGTACATTTACAAGGCAATCTGAAAGACAGAAACCATTAACCTATCAACAAAGTGGAAATATTCCTTCTTCAAAGAGTGTCACTAGTACCTTATCAATACCTCTATCTCATCAAGGCTGAAGGGCAAAATTATTTCTGGAATGTAATGTCAAGCCAATACAATTAAATACATTTTGAATTTTCAAAAATCAGATAATCATTCATCGATTCATACATTCAGTATATCATTGTTTTGATATTTAAACAGTTTTCAGTCTTTCCTTTTAATCTTTGTTTCAACATTTCCTTTTCTTTTTCAGCTAGTATAGATGGAAACTTTACAAGGAGTTCAGAAGACAGACCATCCTTAACCTAATTAGCTTGTACTTACTTTCACAGCGTACGGCAGGTTTATTGGCCATGGATTTTCGACATACATGACAAGCGGTGGAATTACTGAAGGATACAGACACAAACTGGTGGGTGGACTTGCCTTTATTCTCCTTATCTTTGTGCTGAACAAACAAAAAATATAGTTGAAGGTAGTTATCAACAGAGGTGAAGGTCATTATCAATAAAGGTGAGGGTCATAACTAATAGAGGTGAAAGTTAATATCAAAAGAGATGAAGGTCAGAACCAACTGAGGCTAAAGTAATTGTTCATATAGTGGTCATGAGGATGATGAATGACAACCTTGAGATGAAAGTCAATATCATCATGAAGTAAACATCACCATCATCACTGAGGTGAATATGTTGTAATTCAAATAACCAGGCAGTATCTTATGTATTAACTTATGTCAAAAAAGAACAAAAACCCAATATTTGATTTTATTTAAGTCACACATCCAGAAATTCTTCACTTTTAATACTATTTATAATTCCATTCTCTATTAACTAGGCAGCCAGTGTTTACTAAGGTTGTCTGTCTCACTGGTAATCACAACACAGACAAAGATCCTCACAATGTTTATATTTATAGTCTGAAGACAAAAAACTTATTAACACAGAATCAACCGCCTGTAAAAATATATCTATTTGGGATGATTTTGGAGATACATTAATGTGACCTAGAGCCCTGAGTGATAGTATCAGCTCCAGGAGATCTCGGTCAGCAAGCAACACCCAGACTCAAGTGAACTGTTGTTTTTATAAACTGACAATGGTTGTTAACAGAAGCAGTTTGCACCCTTGCCAACTTCTACAAAGTGATAAACAAATCTTACATCACTCCAAGATGGAACTGTTCTGTCAATCATAACTAAATAACTTACTGGTTTGAAAAAGAACTTTTTAAAGAAAACAGGTATATAAAGCGTCATAATCCGGAATCTGCCAGCATCCGAATCCAAGATGACATATCTGATTTTATATGGCATATCAGTAAGTATGGTTACATAATGATTACAGATAAACAAACAGATGTACTGACATGTTAGGTTGTCCGGGTTAGGGAAATATCATATTCTTGGGTTAATAAATCATCATATTAACCTGAAAAAAGGTCAATAATTGTCTCATTATGTGACAACAATCCATGTATCTGATTAGTCAAACAAGGGCAGTCAGAGACAGGTTATGCTCCTCGATTGGGACAAAATTTAAGTATGAAAAATAACAAAGGGCAGTTCGAGAGTTATGATTCTTGTGCACTGCCCTCCTTCTAGTTGAGATATATCTACCAATGAAGTTTCATGTTGATAGATGTTTTTGTGACAAAATTAAGAATGAAAAATAACAAAGGGTAATAACTCTTAAATTACGCAAAATAGAGTGATGGTTCTCGTGCACTGCACTTCTCCTTGTTGAGATTTATCTCCCTTTGAAGTTTCATGTTGATACCTCTTATAGTTTTTGTGTGTTCTGGACAAAATTATGACAAATAGACAAACAGACAGACAGATGGATGAATGGATGGATGGATGGGTGGATGGATGGACGGATGAGTGGATGGACAAAGTGCTGACTATATGCTCTCCCTCTGGGAAGTATTAAAACTGTAGTACATGTTTCTGGATCCTTATATTTACCCTTGAAGCAACTGAAAGGGTTTTGAACTGTTATATTCACCTCACATGCACAGATATTGCCTGTTTTCATGAAACATCGCCATATATCTAGACCTATGAGAGGGGTTTTGACCAATCAGCATGTAGTCATATGATAGTATACTACTATAAATGACTTATTTTTCATGGGGCCTAATTTTGGTGGTTTTTCAAAAAAATTACTATACCGTGGACATACGAATAAATAGATTAAGCAACTTACTCTTATTCAATAGAGCAGAGACACATGAATGGTGGATTAAGAATACCCAAGAAATCAGAGAAAATTAATCTCCCACAAAAATGTTTGATTTTACAGTATATATAAACTGTGTATTACACAGCTTTTACTGAGTTCTATGTATATTTCTTTAGATCAGGATTTAAAATAATTCCAACATATATCTGGATCTATCAGTCAACATCATGTTTACACATAAACTCTAGTACATCATTTCAACACCATGGAATATAAGGTTATTTTTTATTTCTACACAATGACCTTTGAAAACACCCTGCCATCATTGCAGGGCTATGATCAGATATTGGAATGGCTAGAAGCAAGCATTACTCAATTTTCAGTTTCCCAATGCCAGACTAACTTCACTGTAGAACATGAAATTGGTATTCAAAAGAATTCTGTAATAGATACTGTGTATTCGAGTAATTAAAACGGTATTACACAGCTGTCTCATCCTTATGGCTTTCTTTGGTGATGCTTATTAAGTAGGTATATCCTAATAAAAAATGTGGAAAATCTAACTTTTACCAAAATAATACAGAAATAGGGTTTCAGCAGTTCCTATTTTTATCATCAAGATGATTTAGGAACAATTATAACAGAACATATAATACACTGAATCAACATGCTGAGTTACAGCTCCATGGTAAAGACACTCACCACCATGATTCCTGGGAACCCTTTAGACATTTGGTTTTGAATGGCCATCAGAAACATGGCGTGTGAGGTGGTTCCGACACATAAAGCTTTATCTTATCAGTCCGTCCAAGTTGCTGCCACTTATGATTTTGTCTCTCTATCACTTAAATGTTTGTAAAGTATACATTCTCTTTTAGTGTTATCGCCTTTTTTATACATGAGATAGACTTCAGTATTGATTGCTGTGTGTGGAAGTGTCTGCTCTGTCTCCTGATGTCTTCCTCAAAACATCCTCACAAATACACAATTATATCAACAACTCCAGCACTGGTAACCACATTTCAAGATACAATCCTGGATGTGTAAGTGTTCTTGATACATGTTAGTCATAATTCAACACACATACAGCTTCATATAATATTTCCAGAAGAATTGTCCAAAGTCTGTATCCCTGGTAGGTTAATATTTACTGTCAGAATCTCCAGACTCCTTTAGCCATTTTTATTTCCAGTAGGAACATCAAGTAGAAATTTCCAGACTTCGTTGGAGATTTACATATCCAGTAGAAATATTCAGACTCCTTCGGAAATTCATATTTCCAGCAGGAATTTCATGGTCTCCCTGGAGGATTTTTTTCCCAGCAAGAATCTTGGAACACCCTAGGAATTCTATGAGGGAAGGATCATTGTAAGGGTACAGTACTGTTCAGCACTGTGGGATATCTAGTCACTGTTACACACTATGTTGTACACAGACAGCAGCAAACCTCTAACTCATGTCCCTGCCATTGTAGTGAAACCTATATACATCCAGGAAGCCACATCATGTGCCAAGTTTCCATTCATAATTCCAGCATTGTGTACCCACTGCTCCCCATCCTCACTGCCAACTGTGATCCCCATTGATTTCTCACTTTCTATTACCATGGTGCCTGAACATACAGATTTATAGCTCTCCTTCAATTACGTGTTTTGTATCTACTCTCTTTTCTTTCCCCTTTTTTTCTCAATTAGAAACATGAACAATTGATATATCTAAGCCAGCTGTTTTTGTGTGATGATTTGCCGTTCCTCGGTGATTATGATAACAACATGTAGAAGAGTAAACTGATTTAAAAAGACCTTGCCTAAATCTTTTCATGTCAATATCAATCGGTGAGAAGAACGAGGTGTAGGTGACAGATCATCAACAGCTCAAAGATAAATGTCTGAACCATCTTACTACTGAAACAGCTTCTCTAAATCAAACTTTCTGTAAAGTACACACACTTGTTGTGTCATTATATGACGTTTCTTCATAGATGGTAAGTGACCTTGACCCTGATACCTTATTAAATAGACTAGTACAAGATATTCTGATACAAGTCCTTTGTCTCAGTTTGATTTAATAATCTTATAATTATAGAAGCAGTATGTACCTTGGCAACAAGAAGACCAGTAACCATTGGTAGAATTAGTATACCAACATGACAAGTGAACAAACACATTTTCTCCAAGATTTTTTAATTTTTAGTTAGGTAAGCTCTGGTACGTTATTGTCTCCATAAATCTTTAGGTTTTTAGTAAGCTCTGGTAGGTTATTGTCACCATAAATCTTTAGGTTTTTAGTAAGCTCTGGTAGGTTATTGTCTCCAAGACTCTTTAGGTTTTTAGTAAGCTCTGGTAGGTCATTGTCTCCAAGACTCTTTAGGTTTTTAGTAAGCTCTGGTAGGTCATTGTCTCCAAGACTCTTTAGATTTTTAGTAAGGTCTGGTAGGTTATTGTTTTCAAGACTCTTTAGGTTTTTGGTAAGCTCTGGTAGGATATTGCTGCCAAGATTTAAAAATCTTTTTTGGTAAGCTGTGGTATTGTCTCTCAGATTGTTTAGGTTTTCGATAACCTGTGATAACCCCTCCCACTATATACTATAACAGGGACTAGTGTAAGTCTATCAACACAAACATTTCAGTCACTGTGAGCACATCTGTCAGCACAACACCAGAATTTATGTGCTACCTGTACTATACCTCTCACCAGCCAATACACATTACTACAGCATGTGTCACTATAATCTCAAGGTCACAGCATAGGTCATAGGAAAGGTCACAAATAAGTCAAATGTCAATGCTCATCTGTAAATTATCAGTAGCTTGTCTTATAACATCCAACCATTTCATTCTCACTATTTGAATGTCATATTTCAGAATGACTGTAAATGAAAACTCTGACAGCATGACTTACAGCTCTAACTGTATTTCAGAGTCAGAGACCTAGGAGTGTACCCTGACTAGGGAGTCACAAGACAGGAGTAGAGAGTCTTCTGTCAGGAAAAGGAAATAACAACACAGACATAGAGAGTCACATGACTGGAATTGGGAGTGACATCAGGGTACTGAGAGTCACATGACAGGAGTAGAGAGTCATATGACAAGTAAATAGAGTTACATGACATGACAGGAGTAGAGGGTCACATGACAGCAATAGAAGGTCAGTCAGATGACAGGAATAGGCAGTTACATGAAAGGAGTAGAGGGTCACATGACAGCAATAGAAGGTCAGTCAGATGACAGGAATAGGCAGTTACATGACAGAACAGGGTGTTACATGTA